CACTAAAACCTCTGCCTCCCAGGTTGAAGCAATTCTCCTGCCTCAGTGTCCCAAGTAGCTGGGATTATAGGCACCTGCCACCATGCCTGGTTAATTTTTGTATTTTTAGTAAAGATGGGGTTTTACCATGTTGGCCAAGCTGGTCTCGAATTCCTGACCTCAAGTGATCCACCCACCTTGGCCTCCCAAAGCACTGGGATTACAAGCGTGAGACACTGCACCTGGCCATATGTGATTTTTACCCGATGTAGAAGAATCTGCTTTCCCTTGAGTTGCAGGAAAGCTGCCTGATAAACATAACATTATGAGAAAAAGGCCTCAGAATAGGAGTTGCATGTGATGTTATGGAAAGCTCAGCGACATTTCCCAAAATGACAAGCCAATAAATGATAATGTTGGAATTCAGTTCCATATCTGTCCAAATTCAAACCTTGTGTTCTCGATACCACAAATATATTCTTGTGGCTAGTTGGTGCTCGCCCCAAGAAAAAACAGAAGAAATAGTAAAGCATGTTTCAAAAGACAAAACAACTTCCTAAGCCTGTTCCTAAGTGAGACATCTTTATCAATCATGGGGGCAGGGTGTGGAAATACATTAAATATCAGGTATAACAAAGGAACTTATAATATGCCTTCCCTAGAGAAAAAATTACAATTAATTCCCAAATCTGCCATAAGCCCATTCTGCCCCACATACCTCTCAGTGGATCACATTATCATTTCCATATCCAGAAAAATAAAGAAAAAGATGCTCTGCATTCTCCAGGTTTTGAAGTAACTTATCTCTTCAGAAAATTGCAGGCGCAGTGGCGCGTGCCTATGGTCCCAGCTACTCAGAAGGCTGAGATGGGAGGATCGCCTGAGTCCAGGAGGTCTGGGCTGTTGTGCGCTATGCCGATCGGGTGTCTGCACTAAGTTCGGCGTCAATATAGTGACCTTCAGGAGCTGGGGACCACCAGGTCGCCCAAGGAGGGATAAACCAGCCCAGGTCAGAAATAGCAGGTCAAAACTCCCGTGCTGATCAGTAGTGGGATCGCGCCTGTAAATAGCCACTGCACTCCAGCCTGAGAAGCAAAGTGAGATCCCATCTCTAAAAAAAAATTTCATTAAAAAAAATTTTTAAAAACCATTTGAAAATTAGAATTGTCCTCACCACTGCATTGCAATAGCTTTTTCAAGGTCACCAGTGACTTCCATCTATATAAATTCAATGATCTGTTCTCTGTCCCCAACAGCTCAAAGAGAAATGATGTCCCTAGATCACAAGGGACTAGGCAAGGATGAGGTCTCCCCTCTGCTGCCTACTGGGGCAGTGACTCTAGGTGGGCTTTGAGTTGCCTCACTGCATTCTCACCATTACATTGTATGGCTTTTTCTATTGTAATACATATCTAAATGCTAAAATTACAGTCACGGATCACTATGAATATAAATATTAGCCATAATCCTATTACTTAGATGGCCATTGTTAACATTTTGGTATATTTCCTGTGTGTGTTGTGTGTGCCTGTTGTAAGAGAAATATATAAATTTAAAATTTTTCAATTTGGAATATTCTTTACATATGCACATATATTTTGTATATGTATGAATATACCTATTTCATATGTATATGTGATAGTTGCATTTAGCAAATCAGAGAATGCTTTAATCTTAATAGCTAACTCTACAATTAATGACAAGGAAAGAAGAAGCCTTGAAAAAAAAAATACTTTGTTAAGTGTTTGGTGCAGGAAATAAACTCTGGGCCCCTTCTCTACCCTCCCACCTCTCCCTACCCAACCTAAGAACTGAGAGTTAGCTGGCACTGAGGCTTAGAGGAAAGGAGAAAACTGTAAAACAAAAGAAGGAATTTGTATCTCCTAACAGCAATTTAGGAGGTAGGCTATGGTGGTCAGAGGTGCACAGAAAGAAGAAAACAGGAACTCAGTGTGAGGGCAGAAAGCTATGCAATGCATCAAGACCAACCAAAACCTTCCATCAATTCTAGTCCACTTGCTGTCATTTGTACAAGTTTAAGGGTTAAAACTGGAGTGGGGAGCAAGATCCCCAGGTAGAACAGGACAAAAGGAGTATACAAAGAAGCCAGAGCCACAAGGGACAACAGCCATGAGGTCAGGAAAACAGATGCCCATTGAGGTATAACAGAAATTCAAAGGAGGGCTTCTTTGACCTTCCACAGTCCATGGTGTGGGAGACTCAAGGCAATTTAATTCAAATCTGAAAAGTTACAGGACCCCAACAAACATCTTATTTCACGTTTAAAATGATGCACTTTCTGCCGGTTTTCGGTGCTCTTGTCCTCCCAGTGGCCAGTGGTTGACTGCCATTTGATACCTGCCTCTGCAAGACTTCCCAGGAGATTCTAAAAACAGTCCTACTTTGCTCTTCCCTCCCGAGTGCAGATCTGAAGGCTCTGACCTACAGTAGGTACCTCTATGGGATTTGGAGAGACTGCGGTTGGCTTGCAGAGAGCAGCAAATACAAAACAGAAAACCGTTGTTCTCTAGAGTCCTCTGAGAGCTAAACTATCTTCAGCCTAGGTTACCCACAGGAGGGACTTTCCAAAATGTAGAAATATTTACTGTTATAAGCAGTAAATAGGTGAGTCCTATGTGTAAAACTTAAAATCCAGAATTGTTTTAATCTATCAAAATCTCAAGGAAGTTTATTTTCCCAGGAGCTAAATAATCCAGTTAACCCAGTTTTCCATTGTATGTGAGTTTGCACATCTTTGTCAGATAAGTTATTAATGTATAGAAATTGATGTTAACGGCCTTTTTCAAATATTTCAAAATAATAAGAGCTTGAGCTAGGAAGGTGAAATAGAAAAGAGGTGTATATAAAAGTTGTTGGAAATGAAAATAGAACCTTGTGAGTGGCCATTTGCAGAATTACAGAAGAATGAGGAATAAAATATGACTTCGCCTTTCCCAGTGTGGGAGTTAGAATGAGGAACAGAAGTAGAGAAGGCAGCTGGTTTACCACTGGCTCGCATAAAGGAGGAAATTAAGTTTGTTTTCTGATTGTTGAGGTTCTCAACTGAGGCAAGTTGGGCCAGTGGAAATGGCCAATGGTCAAATCGAAGTGTGGGATGAAGTTGAGAAGAGAAGTGAGGCCACTGCTACAGGTTTGGAAAGTCTTCTACATGAATCAACTGAAGTTGGCAGAGTTGGTAAGACCTCCAAAGAAGAGACTGAAAACTCAACACACTTTGTAGCACACCATTTAGCTTACTGGAAGAATTAAGTCTTTTTTCCTTTGCAAAACGGACTTTCAGCAGAAGGCATGAATAAATTTTGGGGGGTTTCTTTTCATTCGATGGGCACACAGTCTAACTTTAGTTCATGGATTCCTAGAGCACTTGATTCCAAGGTGCAGACAATCTGATCGAAATAGTAGAAAGACAAAGAAAGAGACCTTTAAAAGTAGAGCCCTGGGCATGCTTTAGATCTTCTACAGAAAGGAAAAAAATCCCTTTAGCAAAAGCTAAAGACATCAGTCGGTACCCTTGCTTCTGATCATAACCTAAAGAAAGAAAATGTTTAGAATGCTAGAAGGAAGTCCCTTGTTCTTTAAACAAGGAGACCCTTCCAGAACCCCCGAGTCAGCTCTCTTTGACCAATAAAAAGAGAAGGTAAGTGAAAGCACAGGAAAGACGAAAATGCAGAAGGCCAAATGTCATTGGAGGAAGGCTTTAGAGCTTACTGAGTGTCACAAAGGAATCTGAGAATATAAACTCAGCATTTGTCTGTGGAGGAGGAGCACATATCTAAAAATGACAACATGGGCAATGGTGGCTGATTTCCACCATTGATTCAGCAGTAATATGTATCATTGTCCTCATAATGAAATATTGGACTGAAAAAAAAGTTTACAAGTGCAAGTGCCCTTCTTGAAGTTTTTCTTTTTAAAAAACATTACCCTATGCCCTAAAACTGTGTTACCCATCATGTTTCTCTAAATGTGGACTTCCTGAATAAGTATTTCCCAGGCTTATTTAAAAAGTAGATTCTTATACACCAGAGAGATCTACTCATTTTACATGTTCAGCAAAAACAGAGGGATTCCTTTGCACATTCAAGGTTCAAAAATACTATGTGGAAAAGAAAATCTTTGTCTTCCAGAAACTCTAAGCCCCAGATATTTAAAGGGAAATTCAGTTTTTCCTAGTCTCTCAAACTGGCATAATAAACATTAGCTACTGTACTGAGCCCATAAAAACAGAGGAAATCAATAGGTTATGTTTTTTTAGGCTGAATAGTTGTAATTTTAGGTCTAGAAAAATTCTGTAATCCTTCAGTTTGACAGGGTGACTCTATTGTGGGATAGAGCTTGCCAATGAAATTGCAGAAATATCTGATATTATAACCATGAAGTGCACATACAAACACGTGCGCTCACACACAGACACAGCACAAAGACACTATATTTGGAAAGTTTCTTAAATGATGGTAGTGTATTTCTTAAATGATGGTAGTGGTTGTGTATGTTGATTGCTGTTTTTAATAAAGTACATTATCATTTTATTTTTATACCAGCTACTAGAAAAAAAGCAAAGAATATAATTTAGAGTAAAAAAAAAAATGGAAGAAAAGGTAAACAGTTTAACTAAAAATCCATCCAAATTATATATTATTAGCCCTATATATAAAAAAAACAGAATCCAATGTCATCAATCCTCTTATCCTGGTCATACGTACACTAGGTAGGTCTGCTGAAGAATATCTGCTTTTCTTCATTTCCAAACACAAAGCTCAGGCCCCGCAACCCACTACCGCTCTTAAAAAAAATTTAAACCAAGACTTTTTCCAAATAAGGTAGCTTTACACAAAATTGGTTCCCCTCCTACATCTGTGTTCCTGGTGTCAGAAGTGATAGAGGCTGCTATTTTCCAGAGCTGTCATTGTATTCTGCAACAAAGCATCCATTCCCTTAGCTGAGCTGAAAACCAGAGTGCTTTCAAACTAAAGTTTTTAAAGAATCTAGGCATTTTTTACCTTTAGCTGTCGGGTCTGACTTAAGCAATTTTCCTTCCTCCTCTTGATTGAAGCTCATTTTAAGCTTAAAGAACAGTAACTGTAATCCTGGTTCTCTTTCAAGGATTCTGAAAATGATTAAAAGAGCAACACTTGATTCTTTGAGTATTAAGTCATGATATCTTAGGAAATCTGTGGTAGGGGGAATTCTAATCTTGAAGATTTCTGCCTACTGGTATACATAACTTATGTGTGTAATTCTCATCTTGAGTGTGGGCAGAATCTGTGAATTTGATAGAATATCATTATCATTAGATTTGGCAAAGGTGAAGAGATTATACAGATGCAAATACGTTGTCGAATCATTTGACCATAATGAATTAATGAATTGTTATGGCCTCTAATCCCAAACCCAATACATCTCTTACATAATGAATAAGATGATTTTAGGCAGGCCTGACTTGATCAGCTGAAACCCTTTAAAAGGAGGTACTGATCCCTTTCTGAAGGCAGATTCTCTTCCACTGGCTTTGAAGAAGTAAGTGGCCATGTTAGAGGGCCATATGGTAAGTAACAGTGAATGGCCTCTATGTTCTAAGAAAAGCTTCCACCTGACAACAAGCAAGAAAAATACTTTAGTCCTCTAATCACAAGGAACTTGGCTAACCAGCACATGAACTTGAAAGAGGGCCCTGAGTTTCAGAAAGGAAGACAGACTATCCAATACCATTTTTTACATTTTATTTCATTTTTAATTGACAAATAATTGTAGCTATTTATGGGGTACAATGTGATGCTTTGAATAGTTAACAAAAATGTATTATATATTTCAGATACCTAAAAAGGAGGGTTTTAAATGTTCTCACCAAAAAGAAATGGTAAATATTTGAAGGAACAGATATGCTAATTCACCTGATTTGATCGTTCCTTTCAATACCTTGATAACAGCCTTGGGAGACCCTGAGCAGAGGACCAAGCGAAACTGTGCAAAAGTTCTTAACCCACAAAAACAGATAATAAATGTGTGATGTTTTAAACTATGTTTGTGGAAAGCTGTTATACAAAAATAGAAAACTAACCTTCAGTTTGGGTCTAAAAGTTGCTATGAACAGCAGCAAAGGAAGTAGATAAAGGAAGATGTGTTTATGGTGCAGGAGAGACAGCACATAGGATGGAGCATATTCTCACTAGTTATCAAGAGACCTCAGTTCTGGCCCTAGCTCTCCACTAACTCATTGAATAATATTGGGCAAGTCACTTTGTTTCCCTGGGTCCTACTCAGTTTGGTCACACACAAAATCAAGGGACTGAAGTAGATACACTCTGAGACACCTCCAATCTCCAATGTTCTTCAAGCCTGTGAAGCTATGTCTTCTGTAGCATAAGCCAATCACCTTCCTTCCACACAGCGCCAAATAATATAGCTTACCATCAGGTGGCACGAACCCCTAGTAAACAAAATCTTAGAAAGGATGAGATTTCGGAAAAGTAGAGAGAATCCTACTTTCTTTTCTCCTCTCCTAAGTGTCTCCAAAGGCATGAAAAGCAGTACAGAGATACTTCTGAATCTGCATAACCTAGCAAGACTAGAGTCAAAACCACACGAGACATCGAGACTTCAAAAGCGTCCTTGGTCTCATACAAGACCTTTTTATGTCTCTGTGTACCTCCGTATGAATCAGGAGCAACTGATGACAATCTTATTATCACTGTTATGTATCAAGTCATATAATGACAGCTAGCATTAATTGAGCATCTGATATTATTATTTTCCCAGGTACTTTATACAGGTTATCTCTCAGAGACGATCAATAACTTATTGAAGCTTACACAGGAAGTCAGGATGAGAATTTTACCCACGTCTACCTCAGGCTGAAGCACATGCCTTTTCCTCTGCATGACACTTGCAGATGTCACAGGACTTACCCACTTGCCCTATCCACTCAAAAAACATCTCATGACCATCCATTCATATGTCACATTATAGAGTGACCAGCTATCCTAGCTTGCCCGGCACTGAGAGGTTTACCAGCACAAAGCCACTGTCAGCACAAAACCTCTGTGCCCAACGGAGGAGCCTGTGAGGAAGATCCCTCTGGCTTAGTGCTAAAAGCAGCTCCAACGAGAAGAGGCAGGAGCAGAGAAAGTCCTCTGCCACACCATTGAAGGGCCCTCTGGGTACTGTGCTCTCAAAAATCCCTCAGGAGATGCTTCAGGGTTGCCCAAAATATCCCAGGCAGTTTACTGGGTCAAAATATTAGAGTAAATCCTGAGGTTTGAAGCATTATTTAAATTCAGCCTTCTAGAGTTAGACCAATGGGACCCTTCTCAAACATCCTCTGCCTCCAGCTGAGGGAAAACTGTGAGAGAAAAATTAGTTCTCTGTACACGGGCTGCCTTGCCAAATATTTATTCAATCATCCATTCTCCATTCAAATCATTATTTGAAAAATTAAATGCTCTGGCCAAACCCAGACCACTGGAATCAGAACTTCTGAGGGTGGAACCCAGCCCCAGTAGTTGTCAAAGCTCCTCAGGTGATTCCCATGTGCTGCCAGGTTGAGGAGGACTGACTCTCCTCCATCTGGTTTCTGTCCGGCGATCTTGTGTCTGGGCAACATAAGAATTATATATGATTTTGGTCCCCTTTTGTCTTTTCAATAATCCCCTCCAAGAACAAAGACTCTTAAACTTGTGCATTAGAATCACATGGAAGCTTGTTAGGACATGGATTCCTGAGCCCCCCACTCATATTTCTGATTCAGAAGATCTGGGGCAGAGTCTGAACATCTGCATCCTCCAACATGTTCCCGGGCAATGCTGGCAGGCAGGAACAACACTGGAGAGTCTCTGCCCTGGAGCACTGGGACAAGCCTTTCACATGGGAAGTGCAACAGCATCATTCACTGAACATGAAGCACACCACCTGAAACAGCCACTGGGGTGCCTATTCCATAGTCACTGACCCTGGACTTGGATTTTAGCAACAATGGAGTAATTTCCTTGACTGTGTTTAGGAGAATCCAAATCTCTAAAGGAAAAAGCTCCCCTCCCCATCATCCTCCCTGGCTGCTTTTTGTTCTACCAACACTGGACACAGTTTTTAACAGTGAGAAAGAGGCATTCCCATACCGGTTTTATCACTTACTGGCTGTAAACCATGCGGGAAAATGCCTCTGGCTCTCTCTGCTCAGTTTTCTGATCTGTAAAAATGAGGAGGGGCTGAGCGTGTGGCTCATGCCTGAAATCCCAGCACTTTGGGAGGCCGAGGCGGGCAGATCACCCCAAGCCAGGAGTTTGAGACCAGCCTGGCCAACATGGTGAAACCCCATTTATACAAAAAATACAAAAATTAGCTGGGCATGGTGGTGCATGCCTGTAATCCCAGCTACTCAGGAGGCTGAGGCATGAGAATCACAAAAAAAAAAAAAAGAGAGAGAGAGAAAAATAGTTCTAACTCTTGGTGGCTCTGGTCCTCTGGCAGCACTTTCCCTCCCTCACAGTGCCTCCTTTCATCAGTGCAGAATCTTCCCGCCTATTCCCCACTTCTCCCCTTAATGAGCTACCTCAGAGGTCCACTTCACTCTAGCTTAAATGACAATCAGGAGTCATTTGCATTTGACGCACTTGAGTTTCATCTTACAATGAAAAGCTTTTTCTTCATGAAAAGGATTTGACTCCCTGGGAAGCTGGGCAGAGAAAGATTTCGGTAAAGAGCTTTCCAGAACCACCGACATTACTTCCAAGGACAGTAAGATCCTGACCTCATGCAGAGTCTCCACCTCTCCCTGTCTCATACGTGGCTCTGCCCACACCTGTTCCTCCCAGGCACCAGTCAGCCTGTGTCACCCAGAGGCTGCTCTCCCTTCGGCCCCGGGAGATGAAAACTGCATCCCACCAGAGCTGCCAGACTGCCCTGGCCCTTTCACTTTGATCTTCTCTTCACAGTCAGTGTGAATGCCTGAGGATACCTGTGCCCTGAGGGCCTGCAGAGCAGTGCTGAGCAAAGGAGTCTCAGCCCTGGCTGTTGGAAGAAAGATCACAGAGTATGGAGGAGGATGAGGAGGCTGTGGTGTACACACATGCGGAGAACCTCAGGGTCTAGCTTGTCATTCATTTATTCCATCAATCAACAAATCTGGCAGGGTGTCTAAAATACAGTATCTGCCTTCAAATACAAATTCCTATTCATTTATTCAATCAACAAATTTAGCCAGATAAAGTCTAAAGTATAGTTGTTAAGAGCTTTAGGTGCTAGAATTTTCAAGCGCTTTAGATACCATAATTTTAATATTAGCAGGGATCTTGGGAGCCATCCACCCACAGTCTTACAACAGGAATCATTCTAATACGCCTGATGGGCATCAAAATCAAAGCAGCCCATCTTCCTCATGGACAACTCCAGGTCTTAGAAATTACTTTTCCATATTAAAAGAAAATCTGCTCTGTCAGTGTACTTCTAATGTCTAGAGAGAAACCCCTAGGCCCCACAAAAGTTCATCAAATATGTGTGTGATAGCTTCCTGACCGTTCTTCTTTGGTCAGCAGCATTATCTGGTGGTTGATTTGCTCATTCCTTACTAAGAGATATAATTCTGTGCCCTTCCCATTCCAGTTGCAAGGCTGGAGACATTCTCTGGGGCTGCAGGGGCCCCTGAGAAACATGTGAGCAGATCTATCGACGATGCCAAGGAAGTAGATGCAGGATCATCCCAGTGCACAGTCCTTCAGAGTCATAAATGACCCAAGAGAGGCAGGGAGGAAAATGGCTAAAAGAGGTCCAGCAATGCACAGGATCAAGTAACAAGGATGCCAGCATCAGACCAACCGGAGGCTCTAACAGCAGCTTTGGCACTTATTAGCTGAGTGACCTTGAACAACTTACTCAACCGCTCTCATCTTGACTCATCATGCATGAAATTGGGATGACAGTACCTTTCTTATCAGATTATTGTAAAAAGTACGTGAGACATTGATGTAAAAAGCATTGTACAAATTAAGAGAACAATTATTAGAAGCTATTATTGTTAGTGCTACACAAGTGTCCAAAGGACAGATTGGACCGAGAGAAAAACAAGGCTCTGTATTACTTTTTATGGCTTGGTATTGGTGCCTTCTTTCCAGTACA